ACACAGGTTACAATAACACCCACACAGGTTACAACCACCACACAGGGGACATCAGAGGTCATGTCCACACTCTTCCCCACAGAGGGCCCGGCCACATTGCGCAGCACCTCTGCTACAGAGGGGACATCAACTAGTCTGCCCGCACCATTCCTGAGTACCAGCAGGACAACCCCTACACCTAGTACAGCCAGCCCTTCTCCAACCGGAGCCACCGGTACAGTTAGCACAACAGGCATCAGCTCAGCCGGGACTGGGAACAGTACTCCAGGGAGCCCCACAAACACCTCTCCATCTTCCCCCACTGTCCCAGACACCGAAACCACATCGCGTGTCACAACACACACTGCCACAGCGGTTAAGAGCACTACATTGGCAACTACACAAAGCACTCCTAGCCCTCCTCTCACTACATCCATTCCCTTTACCTCATCGGTGTCTTCCTCAGAGCCTGTGTTGAATACATCGACCCATGCTCCCGGGCCTTCAGAATCCTCTGTGCCCCCCACTTCTCTCCCAGAGAGTGCGCCTCTCATCACCACCGCTTACCACAACACTAGCAACTTCCGAAACTTCACTACCAAGTTACCGTCGTCGTCATCATCACATTCGCCCCGGTCAACACTATTTACTCTTAAAACATCTGTCTCCACCCCCAGCTTCTTCCCCTCCACACAATTCTCAAGTGAGCCTCCCACACAAACGGCTCCCGTTGGGCTTCCTTCTCCACAGACCACCGTCCGGAACCCTGCCCCCCCGAGCTCTTTCCCCCTCTCTGCCCCCTCCTCCAGTACAGAAAAAAGAGTCTCTCCTACTCTCACTACCTTCCCGACACTCTCGACTTCTGTCACGGCCAGAACTTCTTCTGCCACCTCCCCGCTCACCAGTACCCTGACTGATACCACCCCCATCACCTTCATTTCCGCAACAACACCGTGTCCAGAGTCTATCCCAATTACTCTAGTCTCGGCCTCTCCCACCACTCCCTGTGTCGAAATGGATACCAGTCCCGGGGTTCCTACTTCTAGTGCCACCATATCATCATCCCCCTTTGCCTCTACCGTGGATAGGGCCACTTCTCAGGGTTCCCCCAGGACGAGTCCTCTCCTTCCCCCCCACGGAGAGACATCAACCTCCCTGCCTCTCGAGACCCATCCCACCAGCAAGCCTCCTAGTTCCATGGTCCCAGGGACCACCCCCACGATATCAGTTTCGACAAGCATCCGAGCGTCCACTAGTGGGTCCCAGAGGAGCACCAGCTCTGAAGCCACCTCCCCTATTCATGACTTCACGACGAAGCCCAGCGTCAGCCTTCCAAGCGACATGACGACTTCAAGCAAGTGGACCAGTCCCACCCTGCCCGTTGACAAGACTTCCACGACCTCCGTGGCCACCACCCGGGCTCCCACCACGCAGACCACCCCCGTGCCTACCTCCACCACTACCCAGTCGAGGGTGACCACCACGCCAGGTTGGCCTTCCTTCCTTCCTGTGCCCTTCTCTCCTTCTCCCGCGGAATTCCTGTGCCCCCAAGGTCAGCTCCTACCCTGAACTGTCCCCTTTTCCTCTGCTGCCCAGGTACCTGTGACAATGGTGGGTCTTGGGACCAAGGCCGGTGCCTCTGCCCCTCTGGATTCTCGGGTGACCGCTGTCAGTTCCAGGACAACAAGTGCCAGAATGGGGGCAGATGGGATGGCCTCAAATGCCTGTGTCCCAGCACCTTCTCCGGCCCCCTCTGCGAGTCCCCTGCAGAACAGGTGGATCTGGGTGAGTGGCTGGACCCACACCGTCTGGGCCTGCTCCCAGGAGCCCCACTGAGTCCTGGGGGTCAGCCTGTGGGTACTCATGATACCTTGTTCAGTCCCTCAATTCCTACTGCAGTCCTCCGTCCCCTCCTCTTTCCTCTCGTCTTCCTCCTGTCACATACCTCCTTTCTATGCTTGCCCGAAGCAGGGGGCTAGCACCTCTTTCTTTTCTGGGATCTCCTTACGATCGACCTGCTTTGAGAGTGCATTCGTGTCCAGTGCCTGCAGTAGCAAGTGAGCAAAGAACGAACAGCCCGAGGCAGACAAATCTGTCATCTTAGAGCCCTCTTGGCTAGAAGTCTTACACGGTTCTCGATGGGCTAAAGGCAGTGTGTTGGCAGGTCTGACATTCTTAATGGAGAGACTAGGGGAGGGTCAGTGCGTGGATGGCACAAGTGGTTTGTGATCAGCTGCTTACCCAAACGTTGGCAGTTCGAACCCACCCAGGGGCACCATGAAAGTGCCTGGTGTTCTGTTTCCAGAAAGTTTCGTTAAAAGTAGAAGAAGAAGAAGGAAAAAGAAACCCATGGATCAAGCTCTATGCTAACACACGTGATCACCGTGAGTTGGCGTGGGCGTGACAATAGGTTAGAGGAGAATCTTTTAGGGGAAGCTACTAGAAGCTGTCTGCATTTTTTTCCCCTCAAGACCCTCCCAACCTTTAAAGCCAGCAATGCTGCATGTCTCTGTGCCTATTCCCCCCGCCAAAGTCACATCTGTCTCCGACTGACTCTGATCTGGCCTGCCTTGAAAGACCCTGGCCCTTATAAGCAGCCCATCTAGATCACCCAGGGTCATTTCCCTGCCTTAAGGTCAGCTCACCAGCAGTCTGGATTCTGTCTGGCTAGGCCAGGACCCTATTCTCAAGTTCTCCAGAGATCTTTGTGGCCGTCACTCGGCCGACCACAGTGGGCATCCTGATTTCCAGCTCGCCCTCCCCTCAGGACAAGGCATCCCAGAATTCCTGTTTGCTGCTGCAGTTCAGTTCGTCCTTAGGGAACATGGAGAGGGCTGAGGGCGTGGGGGGCAGTCTCTGGGTGGGGGCTGCACTCAGGAGATGGTGAAGTGACCGGAGCAGGGCATGCTGTGTGCAGACACTGTGGATGCTCAAGTGGACATGGAGGTATCTGTCGATCAGCCGTTCTCCCCAGAGCTCAATGACAACACTTCTCAGGTCTACAAGGAATTCAACGCCACCTTTCAAAATCAGGTGAGGTGGGGGTTGGAGGTGAACTTAATGTCTAGAGCCTTTTCTGGACTTGAACTTGGGCCCCTGGATATCTTCAGATGGGGGGGTGGTAGGGTGGGGTAGGTTTCCGATGTGATTCCCGGAATCCTTGGCATTTCAGATACGGAAAGTTTACCAAAATGTGCCAGGGTTTCATGGCGTGGAGATCCTGTCCTTAAGGTAGGAGACCCTTCTGGGGATGAGATGGAGTGTGACGGTTGGGGAGGCGTGAAAAAGGGCTTAGAGAAAGCCTGGCGAATCTACCCCCTGCTCTGGGAGGCATCACATTTCATTCATAAACACAGTGACAGAGAGACCTGAGGGACTCGTGTCCTGGTGGTCTTGGTGGTCATTTCCTCTGCCTGTTTCTAAGGAGGGCTGCTGCCTCGTGTGGGGCGTGCAGAAAGCTTAGCGTGGAGCACGAGGCCTGGTGAAAACCCTGGGGCCCAAACTATCTATTTGGCTTGCCTCTGGCGGGCACGAGCCAGCAGAAGAGAGGCAGAGAACTGGGGAAACTGGGTTGGTGACCGTTTGCCGCAATAAAAAAGCGACTACAAAGTACCTGTCCTCCGCCTTCCCAGGAGGACAAAGTTCAAGGTGTCCGTGGCCATCTGAAAAGGATCCATGTGGTATCCCAACCCCTCACCTCTACCCCTCCCTCCTCTTCCTCCAATGAGCCGGTGGCTGGCCCTGGAGGTACCCCTCTAGGCCTGGACACTCTCTAAGATTCCCCTGCCAACCCCTTCAGGAGTGGCAGCATCGTGGTGGACTATGTGGTCCTGCTGAAGTTGCCCTTCAGCGTCCACCTGGAAAGCGAGTATGAGAAGGTGAAGACGGCGCTGAAGGAGGAGTTGCAGAATGCCAGCCAGCAGGAGACGAACTGCAGTAGCCACCAGAGTGAGCGCCAGGGCCCTGGGGCAGGAGGAGGGCCAGGGCCTCAGAGCCACTGCCCAGCCTGCTCCAGCGAAGGCAGGAGCAGGCATTCTTGGCTCAGGTGCCAGCCGGTGGTGCCTCACAGAGCTGGGGGGCACATGGAGAGAAGGCACATGGGTCTACCCCCAGCTGGACCCAGGGAGGGCAGGGCAGGGGTTCACCAGGCTCTTGGGCCCTGGGGACGAGACCCCTGACAGTTATGCACCTTGCTTCCGGGCTGGCCGGTGACACCTGATCATTACTATGGGCTGAGGGAGGTGGCGTAGTGGCTGTGCGTTGGGCTGTGATTCTGCAAGTTCCTCAGTTCAAAACCACCAACCGCTCCTTGGGAGAAAGGCAGCGCTTTCTGCCACCGTGAAGAGGGACAGTCTCGGAAACCCACAGGGGCACTTAGTTCTACTCTGTCCTCGAGGGTGGCTAGGAGTTGGAGGGAGGGAGAGAGGGAGGGAAAAGGGGCCCTCCCTGCCGCCTCCCTTCCCCAATCCCTGTATGGACAGAGCCTTCTCTGTCCCGCACTCCGAGCCTGCCCTGCTTTCCTGGCCTCACCCCATTCCCCTCCCATCTGTGTGCCCCGCCCCCCAGCTCTGTGTTTCAAGCCCGACTCCATCAAGGTGACCAACAACAGCCTGGAGGAGCTGACTCCCCAAGGTGAGTGTGTGACAAAGCTCCCAGGGGCCCCAGGAGGCCAAGACTCCCCCCAGCGACTTCTGTCCCCTGAGATTCCCAGGGGGAGGCAGCAGGGGCCTAGGTTGGAAGGCAGTGACCTTGGTCAGAAGGTGTTACCTGGGGACTAGCAGAAGGTGAGGAGAGGCTGAGGGGATGGGCCTGCCTCCCCTAAGCTAACTCCAGCGTCTACTCCACCACACCCCACACCCCAAGATGGGAAATGTCTTCTTTCCCAGCCCAGTTTCAGCGTCACTATGGTGACCTCGTGGTTCTGCCTTGGGCTGCGTGCGGTCTGCTGTTCGAAACCACCACCGGCTCCGAGGCAGAAAGACGGGGTTCTACTCCCGTAAACAGTCCGTCTCGGAAACCCACAGGGGCAGTTCTACCCTGCCCTGTAGGGTCTATGTGAGTCGAAACTGACTCGGTAGACCTGAGTTTTTTGGAGTTTTTTATAACCAGGTCCCTCATAGACCGGGTCTGGGTCTCTCGGCAACCCCTTCCTTCAACCCCCAGCCATCTGCCGCCGCGTCGTTGCCAAGGGCTACGAAGATTTCTACTTCCCTCTGGTTGAGGAGAACCAGCTCCGTTGCGTCACCAATTGCACCGTGGGCGTGGAGGGCGCCTTCGACTGTCACCAGGGCCAGTGCGTTCTGGAGCGAAGCGGTCCTGAGTGTCGGTGAGGAACGCGGGAGCCCCGCCCACCAGGCCCCGCCCTCCCCAGAGAGCCCGCCTATCAGGCTCCGCCCTCCCCAGAGAGCCCGCCCTCCCAGAGAGCCCACCCACC